ATATAGTAGAACATTTACTTAAAGCTAAATATATGATGCTTACATTCACTAAACTACAAAACTCAAACCAAAGTTAATGTTAGATGTTATGTTTTCATCATATTGTACACCTTTCCTCCAAATTCAGTCTGACATATAGGTGGTCTTCTAACTTTTGGATCACTGCTACTATTTAGAATTAAAGTTTTTTTTTTATTTTTTGGGCCCACCATGATATAAAGTTACTCGGAAGTGCTGCACAGCAGGAGTTCATAATGATGGTACCTCAGAGCTTAAGAGGCTAAACGTCAGGTTATTCTTGAAAAGAACTAGTTGGAAATCCAAAGTGTTTATAGTTCTTCTGAGCCACAATACTGGAAAGCAGAGTTAAAAGCCAGCCCACCATAGAGAGGAGGGAGTCATTTCTGTTAGACATTCATAGTGTTGCACTTGGTAGTTCACATGAAAATTGACAGAAATAAGTGTGTCAATAATGAAAAAAGGGAGCTACAAAGAGAAGAACCAAAAAAAACATGACGTCACCCATTGGTTTGTGGAGCCTCGAGTTTGGCATTATGGTTGTCGTCATGACAGTTTGTCATTTGAGAATGACATGTCAATCACAAGGTAGACACACCCAAAAGCATACCCTGCTTTATTATCTATTTTACTCTAAATTGGACCATTATTTACCAAATTAACATAATATGGTATGGAAGAAGACTTCAAACCAGCAACAGAGACCATAAACTCATTAGGAAACTGTTTACTGAGAAGAAGTCGGGTCGTTTCTACGTTGCATTGTATCGTGTTTTTATTGCAGCCAATGCAAGTTTAAGACACTTCCATGTTGGCTTCACTTTACAGACCAAGAAACTCTGTCCATTATGTATACTGTCAATGGTTTAAACCCATGCTTCTCTCTCACCTCCACACAGCTGGCCATTCATGGCCTAATCCAAAGTTGAAGTGGTGTCGGGGGAGGAGGTTTCCAAAACTACGTGACCCCTTATGAAGCATACTGGCAGCTTAAAGCTTTGCATACTAAGACTGGTTGTGTAAGAAAAACATGTGCGCACCAATATTGCTCATTTTGCCATGAGTTTGTCTGGACAGCCTATAAAGAGGGCAAACACTGATTTACTGTAAACACTTTCCATTTCCTGCAATGGAAACAATGAGTGTTTATGTTGTCATGCCAAAGTTCTGGGGTTGAACCAGTCGTCTTCTTCAGTGTCCTTCCTACGTTTCACACAAACATGCGGACATACTCACACACGATGCCTGTGACTGTGTGATCCATCAGCTGCTGGGCAGGAATGGCACGGCCCCAGTCCGGCCCAATAAGCTCATTAATCAGGCAGGGTGAGGAGTGGGTGGAAGGAGGACACAGCAGTGAATCTCATTATCTTACTTCACAGCACCGCTAATCAGTACATTTATTGATGATGACTATTCCCATTCAGTGTGAGGAGATTACTGTTTCCGTAACATGTAGGAAAGAAGGCAGTTGTGCTTATGTATCCACATGTACGGTTTGTGCACACAAGCCGCCTTAAACTGATGCTTTCCGGGTGGAAGGACAATCTCCCTTCTCACTACTCAATTATACACACAAAGGCACAAACACACAGTTTCTATCTTGACTGTGTACGTACTTGCTGCTATCGGTGTGGTGAACTTGTGGTGTGTTTTTTTGTCATTTATGTACAGTTTCCTGTCATTGACGAGAAGCTGTTTTATGTGTCAATGACCTTTTTTTGGAAATATGTGGGTGGCTAAGCGTGTGTAGGCATTTGCATATGTTGTGTATGGACTTCATGCTACAAAGGCTGCCTGCAAAACACTCGAGGAATTAAACTGTAAATGGTGGAAAGTACATTAAATCTAAATAGATAAATAGACAAATGGACAAAATCTAATTTAACTGTATCTTTGACCTAAAAACCTGAAATCAACATGTATTAATGTAATGCTGACAGTAATTTGTGGGGGACAATTGAAGCTTTAAGAAGATACTGACAGGAACATATTGAGAAAAAAAACATCATGCAGATGCATTCGTTGTTTATTTCTCCGCTTTGGTCCAGACTGAAATGTCTCAACAAATTTGTACATTTATGGTGCCCAGAGGTTGAATCCTTATGACATTGGCGATCACTTTTAGCGCCACAGCGAGGTTCACATTTATGGTTTTGAGTGTCTCGACAACTATTGGATGGATTTACGTGGCGTTTGGTGCACACATTCATGTCCCCCTGAGGATGGATTATGATAACTATGGTGATTCGTAAACTTTTCATCTAGCTCCATCATCAGATCAAAAATTAAATTTGTCACAAACCTTTGGTTTATGACCAAATACCTGCAAACATAAGGATATTCCCATCAGCTTCAGCTCTACTAGCATGCTAATACTTTAAACTAAGATGATGAACATGGTATAAACATAATGCCTGCTGAAAATCACCATGTTAGCTTTGTCTTTTTCACTGCTGTGCCTAAACACAGCCTCACAGAGCTACTAGGATGGCTGTAGATGCTGTTTTAATATCATCACTACATTGTAATTATATTGAAATTTTGCACAGCTCTAATTACCAAGTACACTACAGTGATAGAGATAAACAATGTATAAACACATGCGACAGCAGGACTTAATTTAATGACCATTAACAACATAAGGAAATTAATGTTACGTGAAAACATGCATTGTTTGGCATCCTAAAGTTTGGCATGGATTATAGGGTGTTAGTTATAGTCGACACATGGATCACCAATTGTAAGGAACACACTCATTAGGGCTGCGCAGTTCATTGAAATATTATTGAAATAGCAATATGGGCAAGTGCAATATCCAAATCGCAGAAGTTGCAGTTTTTTTATGAAGGTAAAATGTGTGATGAAACAGCATTACAATGAAGTACTGTAGTGCTGCAGAGATGCCCTTGTCTCTAAATTTTGTACTCCAGATGTTTGTTTTTTTTACTACAGACCTCAAGAAATGTCACATCATGATTTGAATTGCTTATTCAGAGACAATGAGAATTGCAATGCAAAAATGATAATTGCCACTAATTGTGTATCATATTATTACTTTTTTTTCACCTAACACTCGTGAGGAAAAACATCTCCCCATGCCCCAAAACATCCTCACTTAAAACTCTTCATGTGCTGTAAGGGTGACTCCACAAAGCAGGGAAAACTTTTACCGAACTTAATGACAGGAACAAATTTAGGCCAATAAGAGATTTTTAATATCAGTGTTGGTAACTTTTCGGTGCACCGACCAACCCCAACACACACGCCTGAAAGTGAAAAGTGCCAGTGTGCAAAGCCTGAAATACACAGGGTTGTGCAGACATTGCAAGTAGTGCACAGGTGTGCAAAAAACTGCTTGGCTAATAAAAAAGATAGTGTGTAAATAAACAAACAGTAGGTAGAGGTTAGCAAAGTTAGACGGGCAGACTTGTTGTTAATGATCCAGAGCCTCCTCCCACAGGAAAGTTTTTGGAACAGATGGTTGCCTTTGTGTGCTGAGCTTGTGGCAGTCCTGCTTGCCATTTTCATCACCCGACTGTCACGCGTTTTCCTTGATGGACGGCCGTAAACTGCCAGTGACCCGCTAAGTAGAGCAGCTGAAAACCGCCGGAGCTCTTCTCCAGGAGGAGCAGGGCGAGGAAGAGGTGGACCAGGCTGTTATGGTATGCTAGAGACAGAGAGAAGGTAGTTTTTTTTGTAGGAGAAACAAAGCTGGCGTTGAGCAGCGAGAACTCAGGAGAAAGAGCAGAGAAATACCTCCCATCCCTCTGTCTTCTCCCCTCCTCCTCCCCAGTGGTATTAATTAGCAGCAGCAGATGAGTGGAGAACGGGAGCCTGAAGGGAGAACAGGTTCATGTCAGGTTAGCCTACACTGTTGTGAGCCCTCTTTCTCTCTCGCTCTCTTTCTCTCTCTTCTCTCACCACACACACACACACACACACACACACACACACACACACACACACACACACACACACACACAAACACAAACAAACAAACAATAGGAGGTGTTACAAATTGGAACAATGTCAGTTTCCCCTCATTATAGCCAAAACTATGAATTTGCTTCAAAAATGGCAGGCTTTTTTCATGAAGCCCGAATGAAAGACCCTGTTTTAGTTTGAATACACCCCCTTCAGATATTCAAAATTTAATTCAATCACAGAGCCCCCCCCATCCCAGCTCCTCCGTCCCTCTGTCTCAGGTGTGTCTGACAGAACAGATACGCTTCAGCTTTAATCAATACAGCTGTCTCCATCTGTGGCATAATGGCTCGCATGTCACTCTTGTGTAACTGTGACCCGAAGCTTTTTTTTACTCTGACATGGTGAAAGTGGAAGACTGTTATACTTTCAAGTACCATCACTGATGGCCAAGGCAGTGATCCAGAGCCAGAAACTGAAGCTAACATCAGCTTTAGCAGATGCAGCAGAGCCAATGGACAGTGGCAAGATGGGGGATGTGTTGTTTGGATGATGTTGATTTCCCCCGAACAAACACTGTATACTGCTTCTGCTTCTACTTCTGCTACTGCTCTCAGTAGGATACTCTTCCTCTCTTTGCCAGTTTCACCTCTGCTTTGATACTGGGGGCAACGCCATGACACTGTGTTGTACTTTGGGGGTGTTATATATAAAACTATCTAAAAAACAAAACATTTCAATCTCTCGTATCCCATTAATTATTTTGTGAACCCTCAGATTTACTTTGTGGCCCGGCTGGGGGGTTCCCAACCCCCAGGTTGCGGATCACTGCTCTGGAGGACAGGATAGCCAATGTCCTCTGGAAAAAGGTGCTGATGCAATGAACACTATAGACTGGGACCAGAATCAGTTGATGGTATAATAAAGTGACTGTAAACGTAATGTACTTATTCAAGAAAGTGGCTTTACTGTTGAGTTAGTCTAACTATTTCTTTGTCCTGTTTCTTCCTTTCTCCTTCCTTGCTCTGTTTCTCTCGGTCTGTCTATCCCTGCAGAATTCTATACGACACAACCTGTCCTTGAACAAGTGTTTTCTCAAAGTGCCTCGCTCCAAAGACGACCCTGGAAAAGTAAGTATTTCCTGAACAATGTAATGCGACTGAAAAGCTCCGCTTGAATTACGGCGCTACACACAATGAAAATGCAAGCCTATTTCAGCGAGCTTACAAATAAGGCAGAGGCGACGGCGATTACTTTTCACGTGTGTAGACGCCCTCGTGCCGCACGTGTGCACACACTCGTGCATAAGTGCACCCAAAGACACCCATACTCACTTGTTCTCTTTCTTTGTCACACACACACACACACACACACACACACACACACACACACACACACACACACACACACAGTGTCTGCACTTAAAAGCAATTTGTAGCTCCATAACCAACTGAATGCCTAATGCCGCTTTCTCTGTTTTCTGCAGCTCTTCCGATATTGATTCTGCCAAGTAATAATGTGGTACAGGGAGTAATGAATAATAAGTATACGTAGGTACACTCCTTCAGATGCAAGGCCGTTCACGCATCTGTTATGCTTTATTAGGCCCTGTTTCACTCTCTCCCTCTCTCTTTCTCACACACACACACACACACACACACACACACACACACACACACACACACACAAAATCAGAGGAAGCATTAGGTATGTTTCACCACTGCTACTACGGAGGTTTGGAAGCAGAGTTGCCACGGCCACTTCAGAAGCACCGGTTTGATAACAACAATTTGTCAAGTCCTTGTTTGTGCTGAATCAAAAGAATTGCTCAGACGGGGGAAGGTATATAATTACAGTTGATCACTGAAGCTTGCCCTTACAAGATTTTTTATTAAAAGCTCAAATGCCTGCATTTCAACTCATCACAGGGTTAATGTGAGAAGCAATCCACCATTCTTACAGAAACTGACAAGCCAAAACTTTTCATTGAGCGCTCAAAACTCATTTTGTTTGGGGGGGAGTGGAGGAGGGAGTTTCTCCAGACTGAGGGGATTTTGGAGCCATTGAAAAATGAATTAGGGGGGAAGAAGGTTTAAATAATTCAAAGAAAATCCTTGGGCTTTAGTGGAGGCCTATAGTCTGCAAAGACACAAAGAGAGTGGCTCCCCCCTGATTAGCCTGACTTGGACCTGACCAGCACCTTAATTCAAACCGTGGATCGAAGTGGTCGATACCTCGGCATGGGGGGAGGTCATGTGTGTGTAGAGAAGTTGGATGTACAAGCTCTGTTTGAAGCCATAGAGAGAGGGGAGAAGCTAAATCATGCATGTGCTAACGTTAATTGGCTGTGTACTGTTCAGTGATGTGGGACTGAGAGACAGGGGGAGGAGAAGAGGCAAGGATGGGGGAGGGGGGCAGGGGGGATGTTGAGAGATGAGCCGTGTGTGTGTGTGTGTGTGTGTGTGTGGCCTAGATGAACCTCCTGAATTCAGTCTGCAGCTTTGGACCTCCTTGGGAGGGAAGAGGAAAAATGAAAGAGGGGGAGGAAATCAGACCAGGAGGAAATCAAGGACCTAAAAGCAATTGATTTCCTCCTTTCTCATTGTATGTGCTTGTTTTGGAGGCTGCAGTGTTTTAACATTGTGTATCAAAAGGACTGTAGTGGATTTTCTGGGGAAAGGAAGCGCGAGTATGCACAAGAAAACTAAACCTAGAGAAAATTGATTGGATAACAGAACTGGAATAACAACATTGGTTTTATTAGAAATTTTTTAATTGGTTAGTGTCCCTTGTTTTTTCCCATTGACTGTATAATTAAAAATGGACGTCGTAGGTGCGTTATATAAAAATTAGCCCCCATGTCATGAATGGGGAAATAAGCTATAAAGACCAAATCCATTTTTGTACCAGGCTGTAAACATGTTCATTTCTGCTGTAAAGTTTTAAAATTGGGCCTCACCTCTGTAGCCAGCCTCAAGAGGCCATTTGAGGAGCTACAGTTTTTGGCACTTCAGAGATTGCCACTTGCTTTTACTGACATTAGAGGAACTGAAGCAGCCTCACTGAGAAAAAGTGGGGGAAAAAAGAGCCATGCGGTAATCCACTAGGGATGTAATGAAACACGATTCAATACAGTTCACGATACATTAATGTTTTTCTCACAGTTTCTTTAAAAAAAAATCAAAAAGAGATTGAAGTCGCCGTCATCAGCTCAAAATGATTTGAACTGATGATAGCCTAATATCTCTCCAACAATAATATACAAAATAGATTTGTAAAATTAAAGAATGGTAAGGTATAAACTGTGCAAAACAAAGCATATTGTTTGCTCCATGATACAGCTACTGGCGCGAGTGACGTAGGACTACAGCGACAAGCGGAGTCAAAAGTATAACGTGCCCCTAGCTGTTTACAAGAGTATCACAATTCCTTTTCAATATGATTCAAATCTTCACATATTTGTATCACGATTTAACTCGCAATATGTCTTTCCATTCCTAGTATTCTCCAATAGGAGGAGATACACCAGATACACATAAAAGGATATAAGCTGTAATGAAAAATGTGTTCAAATCACAGAAGAATCATTCAAATCAATTAAAACAGTGAAAATGATGTGCAAACCAATAATATAGTCAAATCAAATTTGGAATAATGGCAGGACATTATTTACATTAACAATTTAAAGGGTTGAAATTCTCAAGGGTTCATACAAGTATCTGGGGCTTCGTATTGATATGAAATTGAACTGGTAAATTGGTCAAGTTTATTAAAAAAGGCTGGATTTATAATTGGTCTGATTACCAATGTTGGCAAGTAATGCATTACCTAGTAATATATCATAGTAATGTTACAGTTTTCTATTAGGGATTACAATTTGAAATGTTAAATTCCAAATTAGTTTACCCTCTGGAGATGAATAAAGTTAACGGAAGAAGCACCATATTTGAAGGCAGTTTAGAGGTCTTATTTTAGAAGTTGGTTGTAATAAATAGTTACCTTCCAATTTATCCAATTATTTAACTTATCTTATTTAGTTTATCTGTTTATCTAAAAAAGATCCTTTGCTGTAGTACAATTCAACTATCAGAGTTCAGACTCTCAGCACTCGCCCACAACAATAAAATCCAGTGTTTGTAACACCTTTTAGCACGGTGTAATAATTGAATCTTGTGCAAGGTATCTTTCTGATGATGAGTACCTTTATGCTTGATACACAGTACTTTAACTTGTTATAGAATATTTTCAGTTTCCCCCCTGTGGTGTTGCTGTTTTTGTTTAAAATCATTATTTGGGGACTTTTTCCACCACTGGATTCCTTATTAAAGTAAGATAAAAAATAATATGAAAGTGCACCTAAACCTACAGAGCAATCAAAAGCACTGGAGAAATACACAAACAGCTCAGCTTCCATCAAACACAAGGCTCATCTCTTTGTTTTATTGGCGTGACTCTCCAGGGTTCCTACTGGGCCATAGACACCAATCCGAAAGAAGACACAGTACCCAGCAGGCCAAAGAAGAGACCACGCTCTGGAGAAAGGGTGAGTACGTTAACAATGCTTTATAAAATCCTCCTTCTAAATAAAACTAGAGCTCATTGTTTTAAAAACCTTATAATGTGGTGGTACATCAGTTAGTATTCATATGACATCTCTACAGACATCTAAGTCTGTGACAACTTAAAAGGGTTGTGTGAGGTTTCTGCCACAAAACATTAACCTCAACTTCCTTATTTAGTTTCCAAATTCTTGCAGAATTATTTCTTTATACCAGTTCAAGCTCACTGCCATCAAAGTGGCCATGGCGGCGTGCCACTGCCGACAACGTAGCATTATCTGAGGAAATGTTCATGATGTAGCGGTGTGAAAAGGCATGTGAGCAGAAAAACAAGAGATTGAGAAAAGCTGCTCCATACACCTGAGATCCAACAGAAATGTTTGTGTGTGAAGAGACTTCCAATCTTTTTCATTTTTTCACGCTATAATGATGCCAAAATACACCAGAAGGCAAACAAGGTGGCTTAAAGGCAAAAAACAAGTGTAAGAATTTACAGAATGCTAGTAGCTCTGTGAGACTTGTTCTTAAAGAACCAGTTTAGAATTCAATGGTATCTAGCGATGAAGTTGCAGATTGCAACCATTTGCATAAAGCACAGCCTTCTAAGCTTGTATGAGAAACAGCAGTGGCTGCAAAACTCGCAAAAACGCAAAAGGCCATATCGAGAGTGTTTGGCTTGTCCGTTCTGGGCTACTGTAGAAACATGGCAGTTCAACATGGCGGACTCCGTAGAACAGGACCCGCTCCCTCTGTAGATAAAAACGGCTTATCTAAGGTAACTAAAACACAGCAATTATTTTTACTTACACTAATTAAAACCTACGAATGTTATAATTTATAATATAATTAATATATTATATATTCATTTCCTGCCAAAAGGTCCTCCTTAATGTTACACACTGGACTGATGGTGCTACATTAAAAGTCACCAAAGTGATTGCAGTTCATCTTGAGGGTAACATGAATGTCTGGACCAAATTTCATGGCAATCCATCCAAAAGTTGTAAAGACACTTGACCATAAACCACAAAGGTGAACCTCATGGTAGCACTGGAGAAAATAAATCAGAGAGTTGCAATCAGTCTGTGGGGAACTTGAATGTTCATGAAAATATCATGGCAGTCTATCCAAGAGTTATTTCAGTCTGTACCAAAGTGGTGCACTGACTGACACTGCCATCCACAGAGCCATGCTGCTAACAAAAAATGCTCTGGGCAGAGCAATGCTATACCAGACGGACCTCAACACTGAATAATGCAGATCAAAACACAGTTTAAAACACATCAGCAATTTAACAAAAAATGTATTCTGATATGTGTTATTTTTTGTGATTCAGTGGTGGTATAAATTGTAATCAGTGGCACACCATGTGGGCCAACAGTGCCTGATGACTTATTCTGACGCGTATATTGTGGGGAATTTCTTGACCAGAGGCACATGGTGCACCTGCATCACACTGGAAAAGGGTCTGGGATTATGGGCTGGATCAGTTATACAAAGTGAAGAGCCAAGAAGATCTGCAGACAGGGAGATGTGTGGTTTAGGGGATGTATCACCGTTACTGAATGTGTAACCACTGTAGTTTTATGTAGAACAACATTCATTCCACGTGTACATCAGCTACCTGCTTGACAATGGTAGAGCTAATTTCTCTTGAGAGAACGAAACATGCAGCTTATTACTTTTTTTTTTTTATCTTGCTGCATGCTATGCTTGCTTAAATAGTCTCTATCAGTCTAATTGCCTATCATATGAGGGAAAAAAAACATTTGGTTTGCCTTTGAATGGCATCTATTTGCGTCACAGAAATATCAAAGACCTCAACTACATTATGCATATTTTCTCTTGGTTGGGTTGAACAGGTTATTCATGATACAAGATTTCCTTGGTACTCTCTGACTGATATTGATATTATTGCTGAACATCTCCTAAAGCCATAATATGTATGATAGAAATGCTCCATCTCCTGCTCATGTGCTGTTTGCTATGTACCATGTGCCATTAGAGAACCAGAGCCTATAGTCTCCGTTAAACAATGTCATGTTAATGTTAACCACAGGCTCCTCAATTTGCAGTTTACAAGATGTCACAGGAACAGCAGCGCTGAGCTACAGAATAGATGTCAGAACACACAAGTAGGAATGAAAATTGGTTTGGGTGAACTGATTGACAGCGGCCGAGGCTATAAATATATGTAACCCTGCGTCAACCCGGCAGAATGCGGCTGGTGTTCAGTCATCAACCTGCGGATCAGAATACAAAAACAGTGAAGGTTTTGTATCAGCTCCGTCTGCCTACATCTCTGCTGTCTATTAACACACTCATAACTTGTGTTGGTTTAAAGACTGGAATTCCAGTAATACCTCCAAACCAACTTGTCAGATTCCTTATATAACTTTATAAACATTCAACTTATGAAATACTTATTTGGCCATCACCTAAGCTGAGCTTAAATGATCCAATAGCTGTGCTCCATCTTGATTGGAACAAACAAAGAAATAATTGAAGATGCTGCCGTAGCAGTCAAACGTTAAAGAAGCTCTGGGCATTATATGAGTTGAGAAGATGACATGCCCTGCAGAAAACACCACAGACATGATCTAAATAAAATATAGAAACACTTTAATCCAGTGATATTCTAATCAGTAGCGGTACATTATTGGCATCCTTGATCAACGCTGGGCTTCAGGTAGGCACGACAACCTTTCCTTCAGCCAAGGTTGGGCAACCAATTAGTAAAATCAGCTGGCGTCTTGTGGACCAAGCAGAAGACCTGACGGGTCGCAATGTCACCAGTAAAGCTTTTTCTCAAGGGGGCTTTAAATCCAGTATCCTATTGTTTCTAATCGTATTCCGTAGATACGTGTAACCAGCAGCTGACCCACTGAGGGTTTTTCTGAATGTACAGCTGACTATGTTTGTTGTTGTTGCATATAAGAAAACCTGCAGTCTTTCATCACAGTGCAGCACAACTGGTCATCTCCCTTCTTTTCTCATCCCGGGTCTATGTCACTGTTTGTGTATCTTGATCATTATCTTCCTGTGTGTCGGTTTATCTGTTTGTCTGCCACTCTCTTCCCCCTGTCTCGCCCCTGTCCCCCTCTCTCTCTGCCTGTATTGCTGCTTTAGCCTTCTCCTCTCCAGGGAACTCAGGCAGGCGTGGAGCAGCAAAGTGCACAATCACAGTTGCTCATTGGAGGAAGAATTGAGGTAAAAGAGAAAAGTGGGGTGGGAGGAATAAAAAAAAAAAAATGGAAAGAAGTTTGAAAGAAAAGGAGAGAAAAAGACATCAAGGTGGAGAGAGCAGAGAGGGAAAGTCAAGCTGCAAGGGGAAAGAAGGGGGGAAAATAAGTAAGGGGAGTAAGAGGTGGGGAGGAGGGAGAGTATTCTAGGCTTGTGTTCCAGTTAATTACCACAGAAGGCCCCGGGGCTGCCGTTAGACATATTTTCTTCACCAATTTTTTTTTTTTTTTTATTACAAACATTAATTAATTCAGAGCCTTGTCATCTCGTCTTACATGGATGGGCCCTTCGACCCCTTTTCTTACGCCTCACTTGCACCGCTGGCAGACACACTGTGGGCTGTCACATGGGCTAAGGAGAAACAGGGAGGTTTTAAGTGCTAAGATTTATATCAGTGTTACCGTAAGGAAAAAAAACAAGGTGGGCTAAATATGTCGGTACTGTTTTCATTGGGGTTTTTGTTGCACCAGGGCTACACAGTCAAAGTCTTTAAAGTCTCCTGACGACAGCGGCTGTGCAAATGAAAAGATTTGAAGTTGGCGGCGAGGCTAAACGTCAAGTGCATAAATGTGTTGTATAAATGTGTAGACAGGCAGTGTACACTTTAGTTTAGTACCTGCATATCCGGTGCCCTCAGTGTAATCGCTCGCTTTCATTTCCTGTGTGCCTCTCTCTCTCTGTGTCTGTCTGTCTGTCTGTCTGTCTGTCACCACTCAATTTACCCGTTCTTCCTTTTCTCTCTCCCCTTCCTCCACAAGTCTTCCTCGCTCCTCTCTTCACCTCACCCTTGTCTTCTTTTTAAGTGCCTCCACCCGGGAACCGACAACCCGTTTCACTGGGAGTTTATCATAAATTAAAGATTGCATTGTTACCGACCAATCCTCTTACTGTAAGCAGTTTGGGGAGGCAGGCAAGCTGTCTTGAACCCTGAAAGCAGTCAGACAAGGGAAAAAATATTGTTCTTTTTTTCCCCGTCACTTTGCGGGCATCAATTTAGCCCCTCATCGATCTTTGCATAGTTCCTCACATCCTCATACTCAGTTAACCCTACTTTAGCTCTTTGTGTGGACGGCAGAAAATGAACTGCTGCTGAATACATTTTAGACACTTGAATAATGCATGAAGATGGCTTGATTTATCTTATCAAGTGCTAGCGACTTTTTCTGGCTGTTTAAGTGTCCGGCAATTTAAATGAAGTGCACCTCGACTAGTTCACATAGTCAGAGCCAGAGGCGCGGTGATGATTCAGGAGGCTCAGTACAGAATCATGAGCTTGCACAATCTAGAAATTTCTCATAACCTTTGTCACATTTCATTTCCTTCGTCATTTTCACTGTCAGTCTCCTCTGCATATTTCCAATCAGCGGGGAGCATATTTGAAATACTTCTGCATATTAATTAATAGGCTAGACTTAAAAGTTACTGTTGAAAAAATATTTGTGCAGCTGTTTAAATAGACCAGAAAAAATACTACATACTATACTATGCTATACATTGCTTAATTTCCCCATTAAATGCCGCAACCAGTGATGCAGGCTGACCTTTCTGTGATTGACATTATTGCCATTAGTCTTTATTGTAAGGCCTGTGGATTCAGATTAGGTTTATAGAACATTTATACAGGTGTATATCAGGTAAGCAGTCATGTATCCATTGCGCTGCACGGTGATATTTATTTGTCTTTTATTGTTCACCACATTCAGCTCCTGAGGAGAGAGGAGAAGTGGTCTCTGCTACTTCATTATTTTTATCATGTTTCCTGTAAATTTCATCAATCTCCCTGGGGTGTAACAATTCACTGATTTAAATCAATCTACTGAGCGTATTGCCTGAGAAGCAACAGTATCAAACAGCTTGAATTTGGCCACAGCTGGTACGGAATCACAATGGAATAAACACAGACTTCTTTTTGTCAGAAAACACCCACAGATGAAATATTTAGAGTTTTTGGCTCAATATATATATTTTTTTTAAGCTAAAAAGCTTAAGAAAAATAAAAAGATACGTAAATGTTGCCTGTCTTGCAATGCACAAGTTGAATGTTCATTGTTTTAGAGAGGTTTATTTTTTTATTTTTTTTCTTCAGATACACATCAATTTAGATATATTGAGGCAAAGAAAAATAAAACCACTACAAGTTGGACGCCTTATTAGTAACACAATAGTAGCTTACCTGTAAACACAGAGCATTATAGGTGTTTTCCCACAACAGACATTTATTCATTAGTCCTATTAAGTCATGACAGTGTGTCAGCATGCACAATACCAGGTCCCTGAATCAGATGCAGCAGCTAAATGGAATTCAGCCATCATTGATTGAAACATAGTTTATCTTTATTTGGTAAGCTGGTCGTTCTCACTCCTCTGTCCTCTACTTTCAGGCATCAACTCCTTACAGCCTGGAGTCAGAGTCTCTGAGGATGGACTGCATTATGTCAGGAGGGACGTCCCCAACCCTGGCCATCAATGCTGTAACCAACAAGGTACGACGCCAGCTGCTCAGTCATGAAGGTTCAGTTTTATCAGTCCAGACAATAAAAACAATACAAAATACAGCAACAGAGCAGGTATGAAAGCTCCAGCAGACAATGTATATCAGAGTGCAATGCATGCCCATTGCTTTCTTATCGGATGCTCCTATCAGTCACAGTCAGGGGTGAGAACGTAATACCCGACCTACTTGCTGAGGGGGGGGGGTACACAGATTACTGTAAACGTTTGGCTGCTTATGAGCACTAGAAACTTTTAGTTGTAGATGTTAAACCAAGTGATGTTACATTGTTGGTATGCTGATTGATTTAAAAACATCACAACTTAAAAGTCGATTCTCATCACACAAATCACACAAATTCAAAAAAAGGAGCAAAAGAGACACCCAACACATACAACACCATACACCAGAAATTACAAGTGTAAGATAAATCACTATGGCTATTAGTTTTGAAGAATGAGATGGAGTCTTAAATATTATGCTTCACAATCCACTAATATTACGTTTAAATGGTTGAAAAAGCACAGAAATATGCTTAATGTCCATTCAGGTCTGATGAATATTCATTTGCTAATAATGTGTAATGATGATGATTATTGACAAATGCATTAGTCAAGAAGATTTAGTCATTTGTACTTGCAGCTGAGAAGAATGTGTTAAACTTTGTTGAGGATATAATTAATACTTGCTTGTGTTTCTCTCTCACCATCAGTGGTCAGGACTGTTACACTGTCCTCACTTTCACACACAACTTTATGCATTGAAACATCCACACACAAATTCACAAATAACTGCGCACACACACACTGACTAAAAGGCTGAAATGGGTGTGACCGTCCGTATGTGGGTCAGAGATCAAGCAGCGACTGGGACCTCTGACGCCTGTCTGATCTGACACACACACACACACACACACACACACACACACACACACACACACACACACACACACAGAGTGATGATGTGTGGTACATGACCCTTTCGTCTGACCCTGACCAAAGAGAAAATTTGTCCCACAGCAGCAGCTCACATAACTCTTAAGTGTTTGGTCTGGATGTGATGTGAAGGTCTGGCCTTGACAGCTTATTCCAGTTTTCCATCCTGAGCTTTTCACAGTTCTTGACTCATACTTAAAAGAATTTGTCAATATGAAACACTTTTTTTATCACAGATTTTTAACACATTGGGAACTAAAAAATATAGCCATGTTTTCACTTACTGCAATTTTTGTAACTTATTATAATTTATTTAGTAAAAAAATATTAAGCACTTGCAGATTCCTGCTTCTTTAAAGGTGAAAAAGTGTAGTACTCAGATTTTGAGTGTTTGTCAGACAAAATAGGCAAAACTCACTTTGGTTTTTGGTAACATCTGATAGTATAGGGCGGTGGGTTTCCTACTTATTATGTTATGATTAAGTTGGTACTCTATGGTATTAGATACACAGACAAATTTGTCATAAAATCTGACAACAGAAAGCAAAGAGATGAGCATTATATAGAGCCTAGGAATTCCGCGTCAGGCGATTATTGGACATACATTTTACATTTCCCCAGACTGGTTTGTCTCACAGGAAACAGAAAACTGTTGATTTACCTCATGCATGTCAGTTTGCACTCATTCTGTTTTACTCCAGGAAAGACTCAAACTTGACTCATCTTAGTCATCACTATACATTTTTGAAAAAAAAAGGGAAAAGATTCAGAGCAGGAAGAGGAAGACCTTGATAATAATAATGCTGATGCCAACGTCAATGATATCCACCCACATCCAGACAGGTGGCGTCCTGCAGGCACAGCAGTGCGTCAGAGCCTCTTCAGTAACACATTTGCTTTAGTCTGTTTGCATTGGAGAGTGCCTATGCTTTTGAAAGACATTCCTATAATATGATACTAGAAAATTAGAATAACAGAAGTGATTTTCCTTGAGAAAGGATGTTATAGTCATCATTACATTCAGACATTGTAATGTTTTTGCTTGAATTCCTAAATTCCTTGTGATTGAAGCTCTAAGTCTAAAAAACACTTTGGAAGAGGTTTAATCATTATTAGTTTCTTTCTTTTCTAATGCACAAATGTAAAGCTGAATTGTTCTCATAAACCACATAATCATCTCTTTGTTACTATAGTAACACAGCGAGGGGAATCTGAGGTTCACTCAGATGTCACCAAAATCCACCAAACCCAGAAAATGTTTGGGATTAACACTTAAAACTGACTTCTGAAGACACTTATTTTTCCGCTACAAGATGTTCTACAAGGTAGAGCACTGCCCCAGAGAGCCGTTACTGTTGTCTCACCCGAAGGCTATGATTTCACAATAGTCTATACAATTAAACGTAGCCTGGAGGTAATTCCGGCGCTCTGCCTCTCAAGTACTGACAGTCAAACAAAACAAGAGAAACACGATTCAACATAATCCTGAGGCAATTCTTTTAAAGGCTTTGTGATCTGTCACCAAAAAACAATACACCAGTATAAGTCCTCTGAAGGGAAACTCACGTCTTCATTGGTGCCAAACTCTCAGACAATAAAGTCATGCCTAAAGTTACCCAGTGGTCTCTGGGTCAAGACATTTTATCTAAATCACCATGTTCAAGGAAAAATAATCATCAGTAGTTTAGTTTCTGTGCTTTTATGTAGCAGCAGCACCAATTTGCATGGACCAGCACTTTAATTTCCATATTTCCTCATGACTTGTCTCATAAGTTAATGGTGCATGGGTAACTTCTTGAGGTGGGCAGTACTCACTTTAGCCTGGATATGAATTGGCAAATGGACAAAAATGAGGGAGAGTAACAAAATGGGCAATGAGGAACAATAAAATCATGAATCACTGCCTTTGAAGGAGTTTATACGGTGCATTGCCTCAAAAGTTTGGCCCTGTATAATTGCCTTTATTGTCACATTAACATGGATCCGTGTGTGTGTGTGTGTGTGTGTGTGTGTGTGTGTGTGTGTGTGTGTGTGCGTGTGCGTGTGCATGTGCGTGCGTGCGTGTGTATTTGTGTGTAGGTAGTGCTGTACAACCCCGAGGCAGAAGGCAGTGAGAGTCCTGGGAGTTTGGGCGGCAGTCTGAGCAACAGCCTTTCAGAGCAGAGTTTGGCGTCCGTCAACCTTAACAACCTGAACACCGCCGTCAGCAGCAGCAGCAGCAACGTACACAGCTACACACCAGTAAGGCCCTCTCTTTATCTCGGGCGACAGCCTAATGATCGCTGCAGGAGAATTTCTCTCTTCTTGTGTCTATCTGCACAAGGACAACAGCTGACCTGACGCTGCTGAAGTACGGACATAGACTTGTTTAAGGACACTTCAGCAGGGACAGTGCTTTCTCCCACTTTTATTCTGCTTTTCTACTCCTCTGCGCCCGCGACAGTTATTTGGATAGATCTGTTGTGCTGGCAGGTTGAAGATGTGTTTTAAACATCCACATTTTAGAATCTGTTGCATCTTTGTCGCAGCAACATCCATATTTGAAGCATTGTCTACTGTCACGGCTACAACATTGTCTTCTATCAGAATCAGCTTTATTGGCTTAGCATGTGAACACATACAAGGAATTGGATTGTTTTCTGACAAGCTTCACTACAAGCTTGAGCTTCAGGTCATTGCAACATGTGATGAAGCTCTCTATCAGTCCTTTGTACCCCTGTGTAAAAAAAGTGAAGACAGCATGTTTCTCACTGGAAATTATTCTCTGGAATCATATGTGTCAATGTAGTAATAACTTCCATTTCGCCAAAAAACACGTAATACATTTTATTAAGTTCCTTCAAAGTCTTCACTACATATATTATTTGAGTCTGGACAGACATGGATGTAAACTGCAACATGACTGGTCAGCAGAGGCACACAACCAGTAATTGTAGTTTATCTTAAACTGGGAGTTTCTTAAACTACCAGCATTCAAACAAAAAAGTGATTTTTATTATATGTTCTGTGTTCACTTGATTCTGACACAATCTGGATGATTCAGTCACCGGTCCAGACACCCTCAGTCAGTACAGAAGGTGTCTGCTGCACCCTTAGCTGACTGAGGAGGTGGTAACCAGCTAATGACATACAGTATACGCTGGATCTGCAGTACACTGCTGAAACTCATCTCTCATATTCTGTTTGATGTTCAGACCTATAGCACAGCATATATATTTTCAGCGGTCTCGTGTGGAACACGTTCAGTGTGTTCAGATGATGCATTATTCTGTCCAATATCAGCAGGGTTAGGCAGGTGGTCTTTTTAGCCTGCAGAAAGTCATACAATTCAGTTGTGCTCACTTACTAAATAATTAGAAAATGTTGCAAAATACCCCATTTTTTATTGCTGTTGTTTTACTTTGACATTCAGGGTCAAATAAGCAATCAAAAGGGCAATTTCAGTCAGTGTTTAGAAAATTTATTTGGGCTCCAAACAAATCAAATTGCTCCTATCCGTAAAGATTTATGTATTTATCATTTCTTCCTTTCAGAGGTTTGGAAATGCAATTGAAAGTGCGGATTGATTGAAAACTCTGTTGCTTGTTGTTGAATGTTGCATTCATATGCACTGATTATTTAGCTTGTGAATTGAATTTTGTTTTGAAGCCGACTATCAATACCGTTTGCAGCGTCTCACACCCCTCAGGGTCGACCAGCACAAATAAATTCTAAACCTGTGGGAAAAGCTGGTATGCTTTGATAGGAGTGCAAAAAAAACCCAGCAGAAAACATCAGAGTCATCCCATTGTGCTGACAGCTCACCTTTATCGTCTCTGATGCATAAAAATGACGTCTGACCACTCCACTATTACAGCAAATTTTAGACAAAGGTGCAAAATGGTATACTATTAAAAGTAGATTAATTCTGTTAGCTAACAATTAAACACTTAGATTCTGCTGTCTCTGTGCCATTTACTGCACACACAAACACACACACACACACACAGGGAGGTTTATTTAAATCAAGGCCGTCCCATGTCGTCTGCTGTTACGGTGCCTACGGTCTTGGCCGGTGTAAAGTACACCACAGACTTGGCATGCCAAAGATACACTGAGACATATTTGGCCAGTTTTTACACAGGCTGTTTGAATGGTTCCTCATCCTTTATAAATCAAGGTCCTCTGGCTATTTGAACTGAGCAGTCTCAACCAGTGTGGTTGTGAGATGATAATAAGTTGCTTTTTTTTTTTACGGGGCGGGGGACTAGATTGGCCAACCCTTCTGTCAAGAACTAAACTGTCCCATGCTGAATGACAAATATTTAATGGAAACAACAAACAGTTTATCATCGGCTGATCAGATGTATAAAATTTGGCTGGAGCGGCAGACCTTGACATACAAAAGGCAAGAAAAACAAAAACACCAGTGATCTGACTGAAATGTGAAGTTTAAAGAAAAGAGGTACTGCACCCCAGCCTTCGCTTTGAGTGGGAGTCTGTGAAACTGCTGCGCTCATTTTCAAATGTATACTGATCCAGACACATCACTCACAGGAGTTTATGTAGTTCTTGCTAAGTATTTTTAAATTAGCTGGGAGGGAGCTTGCAGAACTGCCTGGTGTAGTTACACTTTAAGATGCAAACATCTTGCCTTTACTGGATAGGACAGCTGAAGATTGACAGGAGCGGGGTGGGGATGACATGCAGCAAAGGACCACAGGCCGGACTCAAACTCCTGGCAAGGACTCACCCTTTGTACATGGGGTGCCAGCTCTGTCAGGTGAGCTACCAGGGAGACATTTCTTAATGCTGTTCTTGAACAAGCAGTATGATCAATTTTCCCTCCCAAATAGCAGGAGGTTTCATGGTCTCCAGAGGATGAATCATAATTAATTTGGTGACCTTGTGATTATTTTTCTATTGCCATCAATATAATATCAAAAAATGTCCCCTTGATCAACACTTTGGCCCAAATTTTCATTAAATTTGTTTTGGATATTCATGATCCCCAGAGGTTGAGTCCTAATGTTTTCGGTGACCCCATGACCTTTCTTGAAGTGCCTCCATTAGGCCAAAATATTTGTACACAAGAAATATTCAAACCTAAAGCCATAACTTTTACTTGGCATGCTCTCCAGAGGATGAAATGTTCCATTTTGGACACTCTGAGCTTTGTAATTTCCTAAGTATATTCATGCTCCCAGGGCATAAAGCAGAAAGGTGCTTGAAATGTTAATATATTAATTTGTCTATCCTCTTATTCAATCAATTCTATACCAAACAATCTCTTACTCCAAGCCGCCGCGACGGATTGATTTTCCCATCGTGGTCGTTAAAGTTCCTTTCAGTCTAATCTAATTATGGCCACTTTTGATAGACTTGTAGTGCATCTGACATGTTTGTCAAAGTGTTTGTGCCTGTCCTTTTTAAACCAAATATAATACAATTTTAAAGGCCAGCCTCAGTCCAAAAACATTTGGTCCGAAATTACAGGAGCGCTGAAAAATCCCAACTCTTCATTATTTCTTCCTTGTAACAGCTGCTCACCTTTTTACCATCAATCACTTTTCCCCACTCACCTCCCACCTGCATTAGCAAAGGTCAGTGCAATCTCATCTCGTTAACCTCTCATTTCTAGAGGCCATCTTTTGTTTTCCTCCGCCTCCCCCTAACCACCACCACCACCACCCATCCGCCCGCCCTCCTCCTCCTTCGCCTCAGACCTCATCTGTGGTCTAGTCCAGCGGGATCAGGGTTTAGTTCTGCCTCATTACCTGGCGCAGGTGATACCCTCCTAACTGACGGTGATTACTGGTGGCATCGCTGGCAGAGATCTCAAAGACACCAAGAAAGTTGATGGAAAAGCTGGCATTATTGGGCGTAAGAAGATGTGTGGGGGATGTGTCGTGCTAAGTTGGCTTATATTTGCGGAGGCACGCTGATCACAGCATATTGCTCGTGTTTGTTGGGTGGATGGTGAAGAAGATGACAGCTGGGATGAGACGATGAAGACAGGCTGCATTCACAATATGACATAGAAATCTGAAGTATTTTGTTTTTGGGTGCTTAAATGAAAAGAAATCAGTGCCAGCTAAAATTTCCTTTTTAATTGGATGAAATTGAATTTGGTATGATCATCATAGTGAATGATGAATGAATGTGAATGAATTTTTAAAAAATGAATTTATGTGAAAAATGAATTGGAATTGACAATTGGAAACTAAATTAAATTTCTTCAAACTGAATGGGATTATTATTGAATTTGACTTTTTTATCTGTTTTACAATGCAGCTCTCCCAATTGAAATTCAGGTTTAGATAGATTCAACTGCTACAGACACTTTGTTTCCCTGTGTGTTGACTGACAGGTAGCTGCCCACTGTAATGCTCGCACTCCTCGCTCTGGCCAACCAGGCCGTGTGGTTTGTTCTCTCGCGTGAAGTCGTCTGGTCCTTCATGTTAACTCTGGCTCACAAAGCTGCTGTGGGCACCCACAGTCACTTATGATTGTGGAGTAATTAGAATAACACTATTTCCCTCATAACTGAGCCTCAGTGTAGTTCAGGCGAGTACAGGAGTTGTTATAGTCCAGGGGTCACCAACCTTTTTGAAACTGAGAGCTACTTCATGGGTACTGAGTCATACGAAGGGCTACCAGTTTGATGCACTCTTCTGAAGTAACAAATTTGCTCAGTTTGCCTTTAGTTATATATTATTATTAATGATTAATGATAATCATCTATCTGAAGACACTGATCACGTTAATGATTTCTCACAATAATTATCAACAACGACTTAACAAGGTGGGAAACAGATAATATAAATATAAAATTTTCATTTTTAGAACAGGCCAGCGGGCTACTCATGTGGTCCTTGGGGGCGACCTGGTGCCCGTGGGCACCGTGTTGGTGACCCCTGTTATAGTTCCCTATTTTGTCCGATCCTACTGTGTATGTCCTAACACCAGAAAGTGGGTCGCCTGCCTAGAGTTCTCTGTGTTAAACTGACATGTTTCTACAGCAGCCTAGAGGGGACAAACCAAACACTGGCTCTAGATATGGCTGTTTTTGGTGTGTTTTGTGGCCACCATAGTTTCTCCGTCGCACTTGGAAAGGGAGGGTGAAGCGACAGAGAACTACACCGCCAGATGCCACTAAATCCTACAAAGAGGACCTTTACATTCCTTAGGCTCTGTCAAGCTGGCAGAGATTTGTTTCAAACCATCATTCAAGCACAACTACTCCGCCAAACTAAAATGCATATTATTGTTGCAATAAATGATGAAAACCCGTGTCATGACTCAACAGTAATCTACCAAGAATGTGCTTATAGCCATATTTTATTTGGCAGTGTGGTGCAATGAAGGATGATGTTGCATTTTGTTGTGGTAAAACTCGAAATTCCCCCAGTCTGTCCATCGGTCTGACAGCAGCCTCACACTTTCAGCTGCAGTGTGAATTTGGCCTTTGATGTACTTTTCTGAAACCAATAACTCCATTGATTTCCCCTGTTTGCCTTTTTGTACCTCTCACAGTGCGTCTGTCTGTTCTCTCTTCTGTCTGTCTGTCTTGAAGGTGAGTAGCCACTCCGAGCCTTCATCCCAGTCCCTGAGCCTGCAACAGCCCACCCAGCCACCGCCACCTCCCCCACAGCCCCAGTACGGTCTGCCCGTCCCAGAGTCACGGGACAAGCAGCTCTGTTTCTCGGACTTTGAAGACCTCAGTGCTTCTTTCCGCAGTCTTTACAAGTGTGTCTTTGAGCAGTCGTTCTCGCAGCAAGGTGGGTGTCAACCCCTCATTTTGTATGTGGATTAGTGTTTATCTGTTCATGTGTGCCTGTCCAACATCTTAATTGACACGTGTTCACAGACAAAAAAGAATCTTGTAAGCTTCTATGTCAGGCTTCGTGCCCATAATTAACTGTCAAGCTTAAGCTCGTAACGAAATGAAAATAATTTAACATTGCTTTCATAGCAGTCAACGCATTCCAGTATTAACCTCCACCACACACTACTCCTACTCTATTGTATTTTAATAAACAAAACAATCTGTTGTTCCGCATATCTGCATTTTACGGCTCGCTCAGTCAAATGAGTAAAGGCAATTAAGAGGAAGAATTCAACAGAAGGAGAAAAAAAAACCTTGCAAACACATCTGCAGTCGAGCAGAGCAAAGGGTTCTGCAGCTTTGATAGCAGCTAATTAGATTGGTTCTAAAGTTTGTGTAGCATCTTGCTAATTGCTTCCTGAAGCTTTCAGGTCACCAGGCCTCCTCCCTCTTGGACCCCCCACCATCCCAGCACCCTCCCATCACCTTCCCCTCACTTTCTTCTCGCCGTACACAACCACATATACGTTCTGTAACCGAGGAGATTGATGCGCTCCGTTGAGCTCCCCAACTGCCGCCTGCATTCACTCCCTGACAAGGTCCCCCTCAATTTGTGGTCAGGGGTGCATGCGCAAAAAAAAAAAAAAAAAAAAGATAAGACAATGAGAATGCTAGCTGGGTGGGGAAAAAAGATATGACACAGAGACCTAGAAGGAAAATGAAGAAGAAAATGGATTTAGCAGATCCTTGAAAGGGCCCCTTAAGTGTGAGGCTTAGCAGGAAATGGTGTCAGCAGTCATTGTATTCGAGAATTTGAGTCACAATGAGTCACCCAGACAGCGGAGCTCATCGTCTCCCTTGAAAAACCAGTGAGTCCAAGACCACACACCAAACTGTAACTGACTCAGGTGGTGTCTTGTTCATTTTCTGACAGATCTTCATCCTCCAAACTTAAATTATAGGTTAAAACAATAGCCACACGATAATGAAAATGATTGAAATCCTCAGTTGGAACAACGTGCAAAGTCAAACATGAAAACTCATTTTACAATCCAGATTTAACCATTACCTACTATACCCTTAAAATCACACAGGCAGAAAGGCAGCAGGTGTGTTTTAATGCAATCCAGAACAACTTTATTTGTCCCTGTAAGATGTGACAGCTCTCACAACATCCATACGATAAACAAGGAAGGAAAAACACAGCTAAGACAGTTAAAAAAAACACTTCCAGCATATGGTGAATACATAAAACAATGGCTGTGAAGCATTTTTCAGAAAGCAGTGAGCAGAGACATGGCAGTGGGAATAAAAGAACTGGAATAAAAGATACTTTAACAAGCAGGTAAAGCGTAACGACTCCCTGATGGCGGGAGTGGAAATTCACCCACTAGGTTGTGCTTAGATAAACCCAGTATGCTCATCGATTTCCTTATGATTTGTTGGTCACAAAAAGAACTCAAGTCCCTGTTCCACTCCACTGATCTTTGAAGAGATCTTAACAGTACTGTTCAGGCAGTTTCTGTCTTTCCGCGATAAGCAATAAAACAGCAGATAAAAAGAAAAGGTCAAAAGAGTCTGAACTAAAGAATAAATGTACTTTTCTGATGAAGGTGCACTCTCTGCTGGCCCTCTGACTGTATATCCAAACATCCATTCTTAATTGATTGTTGCTCGCTGTAGTAGACTAGAACTTACGACCAGAATCATTGACATTAAACTTGCATTAAAAAAAAAAAAAAAAAAAGTTAAATTGTTGTTGTACTGTGGTACAGAAGCAGGAAGCACAACCATGGTCCAACTTTCTACCTGAAGTAAAGACAACAATGCGCCTGAAAATTTAACAAGGTAGCTGTTGATATGCACGATGAAAGGAAATGAGATAAAACACGCTCTTGGGATGAACCTGTGCATTTAAAAACAGCTACTGACAATATCTATTCGTCAGAAAATCTAAAATCCACAAGTGTGTGTGTGTGTGTGTGTGTGTGTGTGTGTGTGTGTGTGTGTGTGTGTGGAAACAGTACCACACTGGAAAAATTAGAGCAATTTGACCAGAACTTAAACACAAACTACTCTGTTTAGCACATGGTGTAATGTATGCCCAGTGATTATATTCTAGTTATTGTGTCAGTTGTCTGGTTAATGAAGGACATAGATGTCATTTTTTTTCTGCCTGAAGGTCAAAACAGAATCCACTTCATCTGGTACTTCCCTACAGATCACTTGACCTTCTTGACTATCTCCTGTGAGGAAGTGTTTCTTTTTATCCTGAGCACTGTTCACTTAACTGTGGTTTGTTATTTGTAAAAGCTGCTAAAATAAGTGTCCACACAAAGTTATAATATAACTTATAATAAAAATAAATGAAATAAAACTGTCCTCTGTGCGTCCTGTGTGTCCTCAGAAGACTGCAGGGCGATGGGGATGGGCATAAGGAATATGATGAAACGGGACTTTTTATTCACACCAAGAGTGTGATTCTCCCCCCCCCCTTTTATTTTTTATTTTTTCTTCCTTGTTTGTTGTCCTAACCTGTGAAATTTTGTGTTTTGTTTTGTTTTTTCTCCGGCAGGTTTAATGGGTATGCCCGGTGATTCCAGCCAGCAGGCCCGGACGGCCTGCTCCTACCAGCACTCTCCTGGTGCAGGAAACGGTGGCCACCACCACCAACACAACCACAGTCAGGTGTCGCACCACCCCCACCACCCTCAACAGCACCTCTCTCCTCACTCCACCCACAGCCAGCACCAGGCGCACGGTCAGCATGGCCAGCACCAACAGCACCCTGCTCATTCCCAACAGCACCCATCTCTTTCCCACCAGAGTCACACCGGACAGACCTGCCCCACAACAGGTGAGAACAGAGTCGCAAGAATAATTTTTTCCAGTTTTCCAGTGAAAATTTCTGGGTAGGGTGACACCTACTGTTAGCACACTGTACTAAGTAAGACACAGTGCTCCTGAATGAATCGGCTAAAAGCAACACATAGACTGTGACAGTTCTAAGTGGGATTGTCTTCAGAGAAAAACTTAAATCACATTAACATCCTTCACATAAAGAATTTGCATTTAAAATGTTTTTTCAAGACATAAGAGACGAGTAATTTACCAAAACTCTATAGTTATGTTTATCAGTTTGAAATATTTCATGAGAAATCAGTGTCCAGTTTGATATGGTGGATGGCTGCAAGAGCTTAAGTTATGTACTTCATACAAGCAGCATAAAATTACAATATGTGGAACTTTTAATGCCTATAAAATCTCCCAGTTTGGAAAGAAACGTTAGAAGTGTATACAAACTGTTGCAAAAGTAGCTCCAAAGTTACTGTCATTGGCAGTATAATTCAAATAAAATCCAATATTAACTCTAACACTGCCAATGTAGCTAATTAAAAGAGAGTATATGGTCTACACAGCTTATTGGCATCAGGCTTTTACTCGTCAATGAACTGCTACAGATACGTACCATAATAAATATATAAAATTTAGAGTACATTTCAGGTTACCTGGGCTACAGAGCTAATGCTCCCAAATCATACCAACAAGATATTTCCCTGTTTTTAGCACCCTGGTGCCATGGTTTGGATGCAGCATTAGGAAAAGACTCCACCAGAGCCTGACATCAGAGTAGCATGAATATTTCACCATGGCAGAATTGATCCAGAATGTGAAAGTGAATGGATTCAAACTACTAAATGTATAAACAGGGTCTCTTCAAAGTGTAATCTCCTCAACCTGCCATTAGCAGTTCTGGTACCTGAAAAGTGCTTTTCTGCTAACACGTTTTTTTCACACTCTTCATAAGAAAAATGTAGAAAACAAATAAGAATTTCTCTACTCTGCTGCGTAGCTTTTAACTAATTCTTGTGAAAGGAACACACCGAGTGTAGCGTATTATTTCCCGTTTCATATATACTGTATATTGATGCCAAACAATGATTCTACTTGTCTTGACTCCCAAAGCCACATTGGTGTAAATACAATTCACCTAACACACCAGAATGGGCTTGTTTCCGCACAGACTCATTGCATTTATATTATACTTTTTCCTCTGTAAGGTCCCAGAGCATTTGATATTATGAGGCTGGCCTGATACAGACAGGCATCTCCAAAGCTTCACCGAGGCTTTTCTTGCTCATATTCCCAGTCTTTGGGGTTTGTTTTTTTTCCCCCTTTGTGTCTCTGCATCACAGCTCTCAGGCCAAAAGAGGGACTATTCAGACATTATTTATCTAGGTTAGTATTTCCCTCAACCAAGCTGAGGATGAATGAAAGCAATCCCTCTGTCTTTGATCCGTGGTCTCAGAATGTATTGTTGTTTAGTTTGTGGCAGCGAAGGCGGTGAAAAGCATCTCCTTTTTTTTTTTTTTTTTTTTTGTGAAAGCAGAGCTGTAGCTGGAATTTTTCTGTGTGAAGTCACACCACCTTGTGGTTGACAGCAGAGACAAATTTCCTCTTTTTTTTTTATCTGGATCAGTTCACCTGTTTCAGATAATTAAATAACACAGACCCACTGATCAGACTCATGCTGTTACCTGAGTATTTATTTTAGTGTTGAAACAATTAGTTAATAGAAAAAAATCAACAACTTTGATAATTGATTTACAATTAAAGTCATTTGTAAAACAAAATGCCAAATATTATCTGGTTCCAGTTTCTCACATATGTGAATTTTATGCTTTTCTTTGTTTTATGTAATTGATAGGAAATCTTTTTCACTGTTAGTTAGACAAAACAAACAATATGAAGATGTTGGCCTCTGGGAAATTGTGACGTGCGTTATCCACACTTTCTATTGACCAACAGACTGAACTATGAATCAAAAAAATAATCTACAGCCTAACTGATAATGAAAATAATTATTAGTTTCAACCCTAATTTATTTTGCTTTATCTTTTATGCTGCCATTTTCAACATTTTTAACACTGTGTGTGTGTGTGTGTGTGTGTGTGTGTGTGTGTGTGTCCGTGTGTCCGTGTCCCCGTGTCCCAGGCATGTCATCAGACTGGTACCCCAACCTGGACTGGCTGAGGGAGAGCTGCCGCATTGCTACCAGCTACAATTGGGCTGACGTCGACCTCTCCCCATTTCAAGGTAACACACATACTGTATGCACACACACACACACACACACACACACACACACACACACACACACACACACACACACACCACCAAGAGTCCTGGTGCCATTAGCATGAACAGCATTTGAAATAAACATTGATGAAGCCGTCTACCGCAGCCTGTTTCAACACAGCAAGAAAAAAAATGATAGAATGCTTATGATGCCGATCAGTTACTTTGATTAAACCGTTATGATTCCTCCCTGCGCTTTCATATACACTCGCCCTTGAGGCACAATATTATAATATCCAGTGTTGTTATAGTACTGGCCTAATAAAAGTCATTATCCTGCATCTGAGAGGTTGCCGCTCTCTGTTTCTCTCTCTCTCTTTCATACACACACACACACACACACACACACACACACACACTGTCTCCCTCCCTCCCAATTGTATGATGTGAATAATCCAATTAGACCCCGGCTCAGTAACAGCCTCTTATCACGGTCAGCGCACAAAGCCAGCAACATCCACACACGATGGATGGACAGCGGCTGGTCTTATAACACACACAAGCCTCTGCTGCCTCCCTCCCTCTCTCTCTCTCTCTCTCTCTCTCTCTCTCTGTCCCTCTCCCTCCTCCTGCAGCGCTTGACCTCCCTCCCACCGCCGTAATGACATCCTCCACTGTCTGTGGCTCACCTCCAAAGAGCAGGGACGGAAATATCAGACGGCAGTTTGTTGAATATCAGCTTAGATGTGTCCTTGTTTGAAGACGTAAATAAGAAAAGGAGGCGTTAATGGTTCAGGGCCTTGTTCAGCATCGTGTCAAGTATGAACAGATGGAACAACAGAAACAGTAAAAGGTGCTCTCAGAGACTGGGAAAGACTGTAACATGTGGTCTGACGTGAACGGAATAACACTGCAAGTTATGATTCAAAATAAGATTAGGCCTCATTTATTGATATTGAGATGCAAAAGTGACATCATGCATCCTTTTTTTTTCTACTTACAACAGGTTAGCCTAATAATTCATCACATTTTTGTCCTCACACATCTTTAATCCTCCCAACATTAACCTAGTAAATTCAGGAAACCCAGGATACGCACTGTTCACACTCACAGAACATTGTTTCATGTTATAATAAAGATCCTGAGATACTAAATATGTCATAGGAATAAAATGATGGACAGTACATGTATCATTTCCGATCTGGTGCAATTGTGTAGCCACAGAAAATGGCAACTGGTAAATTACTCTGACATTTCTCGTTTTAACATGAGTGTGATGTAGCTTCAACGATGGCAACGGGCAGATAATGCAGGTTTTTAAAAAAAAGTTAGATAAAGTTACAAATGTAACAGTTTTTTTTATCAAACTTTGAAGTTGATTAAGTTGAAAATGACATTGGGGCGCCCGGATAGCTCACCTGGTAGAACTGGCATCCCATGTACCAAAGCCCTTGCTGCAGCACCCATGTCATTCCCTCTCTCTCTCCCCTCTTTCATGTCACTCTACAGTTGTCAAATTTATACCAAAAAAATAGTTTAAAGGAAAATCATGTGACATATTGGAAACATTTAGGTACAAGTTGTTAACTGTGAGAATGATTAAAGCTCTACAGTACACCTTCGCCTCCTCCGTCTGTCTGCCAGGTCTAAAAGAGAGCATGCGGCAGGCTGAGCTCAACAACTGGTCACTGGACGCCGCCCAGATGGCTGACCTGTGTTCCTCCATTAACCAGTTCTTCACGGCCACAGGGGTCATCCCCCCGCAGGGTGGCGCCCACCCACAACCTCAGGTCCAACACCCGACACCACCGGGAGCGCCGCAGCACCCAGCTCAGCCGCACGAGGCGATGCACCCGAAGGCCAGCCAGCACAATCAGCACGGACAACACAACCAACACATCAGCACGGGTCAGTATATACCGCAGCGCAGTCACACACTTAATTACCTATTATAGCATATTTTCATATCATTGGTTTTACTTATGTATCAACCACACAAAAGCTGTAAGTCTTTGAGTGTCTCTCACTTTTTCTTCCAGCTGTCACAGAATATAATATTACCCTCTGAAATATAGTGAAGGAAAAGTAGATCATCTGCTAAAATTTAAATATTTAACCTTTATCTTAAAGTTGTTCTTAAGACAGGGGTCTCAAACCAGAAGTGGACCCTGGGACAGCAGTTTGAGACAGTGGTTAAGAAAATCTTTCCAGCTTTGACAGCAGGTATTCGAAGTCCGTCTGAATTACTCTCTCTCTCTCTCTCTCTCTCTCTCTCTCTCTATCTCTCTCTCTCTCTCCTCGCCATTGTTTGCCCGTTATAGATTTACAGAGGAATTATGGATGATGTCAGCTTCATGGCAACTGGAGATCTGAAGACGAGGGAATATTTCACCAGTGGGAAATCCACTGAGAGACAGCACATTCTGTAGGATTTGTCAGGCTTTGCATAAGATAGCAGTAAAATTGTGCGTGCACACGATAGGAGTTTTTGTTCTGCGAAGAAACGGACGCATGTGAGAAAGTCGGGATACTAATCTGACAATTAGTCAATGCCCTTTTGTCTGTTCTCCCACAGGGAACATGTACATCGACTCGAGACAGAGTATTTCCTCTCTGATGGGCCCCCCAGGATACCCCCACATGCCTCCCATGAGCAACACGACTCCCACCATGGCAGTTGACTCCTCCATCGCTCTCTTAACAGGTCAGGAGGAGCATGTAGAAATGCAGTGTGTATGTGTGTCTATGCAGGTCCATATCCATGCAGGTGTGTTTGTCAGTGTCACAACTGTGATTACCAGTAGCCTGTACAATATCTGTATTTGATGGTAATAATATGGTGGGGCTGTGAGATCTTGACTAATAAGTAAAACCAGGATTTAATATCACACAACCAATGTGTTAAGACATTTTAATCTCGGCATCAAGAACAAATTATAAGTATACTGTATATACAAGTATGTCACAGACTGGCCCAGAAACAGAACAAAGTGGCAGATACAATTAAAGGTGTACTCCAGAAATTTAGTATTGTACCTCCATAAAGTTTGAGGACTCTCAACAAACAGATTAGAAGAATTTATTGGTTTTTGAGGCTCCAGAGACTGAGATATCCTGACTGTCAAACTCCAAAAACAATGGATCCTATATTTCCCATGACTCAAGTGATGTCACTTGTAATTTTCTCAGTCAAAGCTCCTCCAGAGCTGCAGAAGACATTATTACAACTGTTTTCACAGGCTGTGTACAAACCATGGAACTGATGTTCATGTAGAAAAAAAATCAGTGGGAGTTTGATAAATTGAGATTTCTGTTTTTTACAGAAAAAATATTTTGTAAAGACATAAAATTTGGTAATAACAACATAACATAATTATAATTCACTTAGTGGCAGTGGTGCAGAAGACACACTGACATGTCGTTGTGTGTGACGGTATCTTTGAATATCAAAGCTTCTGCTGTCTCTCTCCATGTTCAGGCCATCTCAGCCAGCTGAGCCAGCAGCAGCAGCAACACAGGCTGCCTCTGGGACACTTCCAGGTGAGACGCATGCTCACTGCAGACGACATCCAGGACGACTTTGACTGGGACTCCATCGTCTAAACTGAGCCGTGGTGGAGCAGAGGGATAAAGAAAGAGAGAGAGACTGGGGAAAAAAAGAGAGAGACATGTGAGGACAGGTGAGGTATGGAACTGGCCGACCTGCTCCCTTTCACCTGTGTGAAAAAAAAAGAAGACAATCCAACAGAAAACAATGGAAAGTAATTTTTTCTGATCTTGCTGGCCTTTTTTCCTGCTACAAGTGGATGGTGAGTCTAAAGACAATCATAAAAATAAAAAAAAAGAGACTTAGACGGGACTGAGCCAAGCCACACATCGTCCAAAGCAAAAGGACGTCTGAAGCTCTCTCAATTGTCTCATGTTTTGCCCCCCCCCCCCCCGCCCCCCAGTGCCAACAGGGTTACCAGTCGCCAAAGTGTCGTGAGATCGTCAGTGAATTGTTTAAATCTTTTGTGTTTTCTGCTTCATGTCCTATGTCTGCAAAGTTTCAGCATCTGTGCCTGAAATGAATAGAAATCGTGTCCTCTCCAGATTCCCAGCAGAAAATCAATTCAGCCAGTCTTTCACACATACAGCAGGTCTAACCATTTCATCCTTTCCTCCTTTTAACATTGCTTTTGTTCACTCTCAATACTGGGCATCTATGTGGCCGTGAGTCTTTACAGCCGCAGTTAAAAGGAGGATTTGTGAAGAAGAAAATAATGATGGTGTACCTGTTCAACTTGAATAATAGCAATGGTTGAGTGGAGCACAACCTGCTGGATGAAACAGGCACCATACAGCTTTCTTTGCCTAAAACAGTTCTATGCACCACAGTCTGTTCTTTCTTTACCTTCGTTCTGTCACATTGGACACCTTTTTCTAAACCCTTTCAGTTTATTTGATCAGTTTAAATGTCATTATTGTGCGTGTGGAACAGTGCATTGTGCCATGTTCTCAGGGTGTTGCATTCATATACCATGTCAGACCAACACAAAGCCATTTACACGTCTGTATGTGAGGTTACTGAGTGTTGTACAGTGCTGTCAGTGTTCACTTCCTGTTGGCGAACAGCGAGCCTCCTGGTGACTGTGGTCAAAAGTTTTATATTCATTTGTCAGCTTATAAGCTATCTGATACAAAATACTGTGGAAGGAGCTTCTCAGTAGCTCAAACAACAGCCACTAATTAAAATTAAAATGAGACGCCGGCTAGACTTGGACTTTGTCAACAATAATACTTTTTTTTTTTTCTGATATATAATTCAGTTTGTAAAGGTTTTATCATTTTTGGGAAAGTGCATATCAGTCATGACCAGGCAGTGAAGGTCGGCCGCTATTTCAATATGCCTCAATTATGAGACGACGAGCAGTTTTTTGCACAACACCAAACTTGATAGCGTCTTAGTGAACGGGCGAAATAAAAGAAAACGGTGAACATTTTATTTCTTTGTTTCAAAAGACATTTTAAAAAAATAAAAATAGATCAGCAAAGACTAAACAAAAGTTTCAAATGATCAACCTTTTTTACTGTGATGTTTAATTTTGTCTGTGTGTACAAGTGTGTATAGTCCTCTCTGATTTCCTTTAGCATACAGCTCCGTACAGCTCAAAAAATACACATAAGAAACAAGTAATTTGTTTGTATTAAGTGGGTACACAGTGAAACATGGGACCTTTAAAGTGCTCCTTGGTTTGGAAGATCTCAGTGACTGTTCGAATGGTCAAAACAAGGTCTCATTGTAGAAAAAAAAAGAAAAAGAAAAATACTCTTTATTATTGCCATTAAATGCTGTATTACAGTGACCAGCATATATATCTTGTATGTTTGTGTGTTGTTGTCCTGTAAATAACAGTATGTTACTCCTTTGTTTGCCCTTGAAAAACAGACTGACTAAAAGAAAACAGCAAATGGAGAGAAAGTATTTTGTTATTTGTCCTTCAGGAGACACAGTATGTACATACCTTCAGTATATTGTAAATAAGTGCAAAAAAAAAAATTGCCGTTGGCGTTTTGTGTGTCATAAATAATCTGTGTATGGCGGTTCAACAGTTAAAATCTGTTTCAGTGTTTATTAAAATGTCATTGACCATTTTTACTGCGCTAACCTCGCATCTGCTGTCGTTATTACATCAGCTGCTGATTTGAATTAACAGCCTTTGGTTTTCAGGGTTATTGAGTTAACTTTTTTCCTCCTTGGCTTTTGTGCTGTTTTGACCCTCGTAGCTTGTTGTCCAACAGGTGTCAGCCTAGTGCCAAGCAACAGTTTGTTTGCCCTCTATCGCATGTAAACTCAGCAGACCACCCATGCTTGCTTGTGTGAAAGTCACACAATGTTCTAACTGTATTTACGGCTCCTTTTCATTGGGGAAACCTGTTTAAAAAGCTGCTGTCTGTCAGCCACAGATGATCGCTACCACTTTTCTTTTGCAAGAACAAGATTGATGATTTAACAGAGATGCATTACGGATGCTTGTGTCATTCACTGTGTGCTCCAACACTGTTGAAGATTGTGATAACTAGTGAAGCTGTGCTCTATTACAGACACTTTCTTGGCTCTTAACCGTGTGATTAAGGATTATTTGAGACGACTTAAAGCTCTGTTTACATCTGGCTCCATTCATACAGAAAGCGTCTTAAAAGCTTGTTGCTTTAGCTTTCTGACTGCATAATCTTATCTGCAGTTTTTAAGTGTAGAACTTGTCTTGGAAAATCAGTCAACGGTTTTTTTTATCTGTTATTTCCAAGTGTGTGTTTGCGTGTGCGACTGTCTGTGGATGTTGCTGATATTGCAGGGTTTGCAAACAGGAGGGCTGGCTGTGTTCCAAGAGGGAGAGCACGTCCTACACGGGGCTGGACCATGAGGGCTGAACCCCCTTACTGCCCCAATCCAGGCACCCAACCTGCCCCTTTCTCCTCAACCCGTCCAGCCCACCACCAGGTCCAGCACCCCTCCTCCACTCTCAGCTCAGTCGTTCACACACACACACACACTCTTTTCTCTTTCCTGCTGTGTGCCAGTCCCTCTCTCTCCCTCCACTTCCTCAAAGTGGTCAGAGCTCCTGTCTTCCCTCTTGTCCTCTTTACATCCCTCCACCACTCTTTTTCTCCCTCCTCCAGCTGTGAGAGCGACCAGAACCCTGGCACAGGCTGTTCGTCTTCATCTCCACAAGCTGAACGGATCTCAGGCCTGCTACTTTCCCAAACTTCTCCTGAAGACTTGATTTTCATTCTTGACCTTTTTTTTTTTGGAGGGGTGTCCTTAACCCTTCCCCTTTCTGAGAGGCTGCTTGGTGTGTGTCTGTCGTGTGCGCAGCAGCGTGTGTGAGGGCTCTGGTGTCGTGCTCTTTGCCCTAAGGGAGTCCCTAAAGGTTGTGACTGAAGGAGAGACGTTTTCCCCACGATGAATGTTCAGCTGCTGCTCCTGTTGGCCCTGGTTGGCCCTTTCTGCGTCTTCACACGTGCAAGTAAGTGAACTCTCTGCTATCACCGTCCTGCTGTTAGCACACTGTGTCCCCTCAGTCCCTCTGCCTCCATGTGCACACACCACACCACTCTTTGTCTGCTTTTAATCCCTGTTGACTGAACAATAACTCTCTGGAGGCTGCTTTCAGAAAGCAGAATGAACTCAATTTCAATTTGTGTATCCATGAAATTATTAATCTTGTCTTCTGTTCAAATAATTTTGAACACTTTTTTGTGTTTTTACTGTTAAATCATCTCTCACTAAAAACTGCTTCTGACAACTGCCGACTGTAGTCCGGCCTATGTTTTTCACTTCAGCTAAGAGTCGACCTCATATAAAAGCAATATTTTGGCTGAAGGTGTTAATTTAGCAACGAGGGGGCACCTCAGATGGACAGTCTGTGTTGATTTTAACAGATCAACCTCCCCCTTTCTCTCATTTTCACACTACTCCTTAGCTCTGAACGGGAGGAATAGTTTGATTTGCAGACACAAGGGAGAAATGTGATGTAATAGCAGGAGCTCTGCTGCCTCGTGTCTGTAAATTCCTTGGCACTGGCAAAGAAAGAAAAGGAATATCCTTTGGAAGGCTCCCAAAAACGGCGCTCATACACATGGAGGGATGGGGAGGAGGGGGGTGGCTGTGAACTGTAACGTACACCGTACACATTTATCTGAACGCTGTCTCCTCTCACTTTACTCCTGATTCTCTCATTTCTCTCTCACTGCAACTACTTTCTTCCTATTCCTCTGCCTCTGCTCTTTGCATCTCTTGCCTCTCTTTCTTCCTGTATGCATGCATGTATGTATGTATGTATGTATGTATGTATGTTTTCCCTTTCTTCCTGTTCTACTGCTTCCTTCCCTTGCCTTGACCAGCAGTGTTTGCCCGGAGGAAGCAACAGGCAAGGGGGTTGAAGGGGTGTGTGGCTTGAGCCTGAGGGAACTGTAGGGCAGGGCACGGCTGGTTTGCGTGTGAGTATTAATAGAGAGAGGCTCTATATTTAAGAGGGTCATATGGATGAGAGAGGAGCAAGGGATGGGAAGAGAGAGAACACCCGGTACGTGATAAGCTTTAAGAGGCGCCCCACCCTCTTTCGCCCGCATGTTGTCAGACCATGTGGCGCGCCGCCCCTTGGCATTTACCCATCTTTGGTGGGGTATCAAGCTTTACCACTCCCCCCCCCCCGTCTCTTAACAGTCCTCCTCCTTTCTCCAACTCTCTTCCCCCTTCCCCTATTCCAGCTTGATGAGTCTGGACCCCGGGGGACAGGGTTGGTGTAGACACGGGGGGAGCAGAGAGGGGCTGGCTCTATTTTTAAACAACAACCTTTACCAGTTAGAGACTACGTGCCTGCCTCATTTCCATGGAAGTTTAATCTGAAAAAGACAGTCCCTTAAGGTTGCACACTGATCCTCAACTCAGCCATCTCAGTTTTCCAAAGAAAAGGGGAAAGCTCATTCCACATCAATACTTCACAAACGGGGTCTTTTAACTTCCTCGCGCCTGCTCACTTAACTGGCAAGGCCCATGTATCCTGTAAAACCCTCCACCTCCTCCCTCACGCCCCTGCCCCAGCCCCACCCCACCCGGTCTCCTTCTTAATGAGTTTTGTCTGCCTCTCTGGGCCTATAACATCCCCATCACATCTGGCTGCTGAAGGGAGAGGTCAATGCCCTTTGTCCGTGCCCACTTCTAGACTCAAATGTTGCGCTCATACTCCAAATATGAGACGCATGCGGGTAAAGAGCGTGACGAAGGAGCCCTTCTCACGTCAACTGAGTATCGTTTTGAGAAGAAAAACACCCAGTCATACTTTCAAAAATTTTCCGCAAGGAGAAAGAAACATCTGTTTATGGAAAGGAGTGCGTTTTTGGCCAGGACCAAGCCCTGACGACTTTAGACTGTAGCGGGGCTTCAGGGTACAGCCCAAACCTCCCTGTGGAGTTTTTTTTTGTTGTGTGTGTCTCCTCTGTGAGTACTGACACAAATGTCTCATATCTCTAGCACCTACGTGTGCTTCAGGGTGAGATATGGTGCAAGAGAAAGTTAGAAAAAAATAGACTGCTGACTAAGGAACACTTACACAAGTGGGTGGGTGTTTTATGATGTGGGAGTTGGATTTGAAGGTTAGAAGATACATGACTTGAAATACATTAAGAGGTTTGCTTGATGGAATTATAGATGGAGTGCTGCTTTTATCTGCGGTGTTTAGTTTTGTTTGAAAGAAAAGAAGAGCTAAGGGCGCAGAGTGATACCCCAGTATGATTTGTTTATTTGCATTTCATGTCCTCCCTGAGCTGATTCATTACATTTAAGGAATTTAATCAGACCTGTTTAGCCTAAGATTAAAGGCCCACTTGAGCTAGGTCTGGACCAGTTTCTTCCCCGGGCGATAGAGTCCAGATGGGACTTGCTGCATGTTCTCCTATCTAAGTTAGACCAGGAGGGGAAAAAATGAGTTCCTGTATGAGTGTGGACGCTCATTGTGTTGCGTCTGTGATAAGACCTGCTGAGAATATTCCACTCCAGCCTGTCTCCTGCTTAAAATCCCCCAGCGTGCAGTGCATGGCACGCCCCAGTATCTCCGCAGCTGACTCCTACTGGTCGAGCGGGGGAGGTTAGACCATGCGGCATCTCATCGTAGAGAGATGGGCAGGGCGCCTATCTCGCTCATTTCCCTCCTCACCGCAAAAACATTCCTGGACTCCGAAGGTGGATGCTCTCACACTCCCTCACACACCGTCTGCGCGGACCCCGTCCCTCCTACACAGGACTGTGAATTATTAGCTCTCTCACACACACATAAACGGGGGGCCTCGCTGACAGCTGATTGTGATCATAATGGATGGAGGCTGCAACTCCCTTCTTTCCTGTCTCACACTGTATATCGTTGTGTCCCTCCCTCACTCTTTCACTCTCTCTGTAGGTTTTATTTATGCCAGGCAGGAGTGAAGCCCCACATTGGTGTCTCCACCTCTCTCTCCCCAGCTTTTGTGGTATTCCTTTACCACTTCTCTTACTTTTAAGTCTTTTTGCCTTTGTGCCGTTTACACTCCACCCTATCTGTCCCTCCCGGTATATCTACATCCCATCACTATATTTAAAACCAGTGTGATTCATTGCCACTATGGTTCATTATTATTTGAATTACAGTGTCATCGCCACGTGTTTTCTAATCACCTGCTGTGTTGTTTTTATGCACTGGTTGTCCATAAACCTTTCTTCTTCTGACAGCCCTAGGTTTACATTCACACACACATAAACACGTGCAGTATGAACTCACCGGCACTTGCTAACGCTTGTTAACTGGCAGGATAATTTCAGGCTGTTTCATGCTTCACATGGAAATGGAAGCGCGAGAGCGTGTGTGGTCAAAATGATGTAATCATGGGTAAAACGACCTGGGTGCACCGCCGAAAATTTTGAATAATAAGGACAACGCCACAGTTACGTAAACGTTTCTCGGTCTCGGTTGTTGGAATGAAAAAGAAACTGGAACGGGTTCCAACTCTGCGGTGTTTTTACTTGCTGAGTGGTGCATGGAGCTGAGTTTCCTCGCAATGCCCCTTGAGCTCTGTGGTTCTAATGTGTCTAGTCATCATTAGACGCATGAGAAGCATGAGTATCGTGTGTTGACC